CACTAAGAAAATTAAATATGAACCTCAAACAAAACCATCTCTCCCATGGCCACCGACAGACCCCTACCTCTTAGGCACCGCCGTGAAGTTGGAAAAGACGTATCGAGCCATCATATCCAGGCAGGTCTCAGTGAGCTCCAGGTGAAGATTTTTTAAGTTGTCATCAGCCTGAGCCATTGAATTCTCATCCGCAGAGCCCAGGCTTGAACTAGTGATGGAGGTTTGTATCCGACTAGAAGAGAATGTTTCCAACTGACAGATCACATTGCAAAACGTTTGTCCCTGTCACCCGAAAGACACTGTGATGCAGAACAACCTGCGATACATGCACGTGCCACATCAGAGAGGTGGCCAGACATCAAACCCAGGCCATCATAAAAATCTTTTTGGATCAGCCTCTTGTTGTTCTTTGTAGATGGTCGTTGCAGAAAATGTATTTTATCTTGAGAGACTTGAGAAACATTTAATGTCCTAGGTCAGGCCAGCGCTCTCTGATGTTGGTGGCCCATGGGCAAGTGCACCAAGCAAAGAGTGAGTGGCAGCACCATGCTTTGAGTTCACTAATCTATAGTGAGGGCAAGCGTCCCATCACCTGCAGTTTCCCAGGCACAGTGTTGCCCATGAGCCATAAATTGGGGCACTCCAGACTTAACTTTATGATCCTTTGATGTTCTTTTTTTCTCTGTTGCATCCCTTTCATATATTGATTTTTTTTCTCACCAAATTTAATAGCTATGTAAAACCTAATTTAACTTGAAATAGAAAAAAAATTGCACTCTGAACAGGAAATTGGCACAGGAATAGAGAGCAACTCTGCCTTCAAATCAGCCAAGTTAGTGATACCATTTAAAACAATGGCAATAACAGGCCTAATAGACTGATGGGGATATCAGAGATGAAGTGCAAGAATCGTATTCACAATCCAGTCACTTCAGTGTCTTTCCCCCAAAGACCATATAGTCAAAAATAAAACCACAGAAAAATAAAGTTCCACTGCCAGCAATCCTTAGGCACAAATCTTCAGGTTCAGATTTTAAACCAACATGTTAAACACAGCAGTTTAACACTCAAGGGAAGTGATCCAGAAATATGTTTTAAACAAAAAAAACCCAAATTGTTTCATCTTTCATGTGTACAAATCAACATCTATGATCAAAACCTGTTTTCTTTAGCGGTGAAAGCAATGGCTTCATATCGGCTGACCATACATTTCACTGCTCTTCAGAAACACAAATTCAGGCTTTCATAGCATCATACTCTAGACCAGAATACTTCCGTCAGCTCCCTTTGCCTCAAAGAACAAATCCTAAACTGAGGCCAGAACTATTCCTCATAGCTTGGGAGGAAGGTCTGTACATAAGTTTGCAGAATATCAAAAGCCTCTCCTGGGGCAAGCCACTGCTGAGAAGGCTGAAGTTTTAGTGAGTTTTAACCAGGATTCTCACTTGCACAGAATGCAACCTTTTTCCCTTTTTTTTTTTTTAAAGTGTTGTTTGTTTGTTTTTCCCCCATTCATCATCTTCGCTTTGAAAATAGAAATTTTTGTTGCTGAAGCATCAGAGAACAGGGTAAAGTAACCACACACAACACAGGGTGTGATGTGACAACCCAACAGCCGGCGTTGGGAAGCCATGGGATACCCATGATGCTTTCCCAAAGCCTTTGACTGTGATTAAGGCCAGTTTTTTTATTGAGTAGCAAAGTCATGCAAGCATCCCACATGCAAATCCACCCTGCTTCCACCCACCCTTGCAGTAAAATTTCCAAGTGCTGAGTTGCTCTTGGATTCTCCCCATTTAAAGTGCCTCTACCTGCGGACCACATGTTCAGACACACTGATGCTGCGGGATCGGAAGGCATCAACTGCAGAGGATTCTTTCAGCTCTTTCACTGGAGGAGAGTTATTCAAGCCTTGCTTTGCATTTTTGGCTAGTCTTAAACTACTAGGTGGAGAAGCACCAAGCCCCAAAAGAGGTCACAGGAAGGGAGGAAATCATTGTAGGGATGTAGGTTGAAAGGTCACAGGTCACAGGGTCAATATTGGGGGATCCCGGAGGGTGATGTAAAATAAAACAAATGCCAAAAAAGGAAAACAAAAATTAAAACGTACAAACAAGCAGAGCTGAAAGCATTAAAAAGACAAACCACATTTTGAAAACAAGATTTTAAACGTGCTACAAAACAAATGAAATTAGTACAAGTTAAAACAAAAAAACTGATTGAAATGACAGTTGGAATACTGCGCTGTTAAACAAAGGCAAAAGCACCTGAATGTTAATTTGGCACAAACTTCTCCAGTCTGAGAAGTTTTGTGCAGTTCAACCACCTCTTGTGTCACCCCAACTCACCACTTCAGCATGGCTAAAAACCTGACTACTTCTGCAGAGACCAGATCCTAAAATGCTTTACCAATACTGGGCAGCAGCACCTTTTTCTAAGAGACACAGGAAAACGTCAGCCGTCTCTACCTCTGTCAGGCCTGGCCCAAATCTGACCTTCTCCCCTGAATCTCAAAAACACCCAGAGCCAGTCAGAGGTGCCCCTTAGCTCCATTCAGAGACACTGGGGGAGGCTCAGCCCCTCTACAGGAGACTGATCCTGCTCTCACTGGACAGATGGAAGGGCAAGAAGACAAACATCCTCTTGGCTGTCGCTCTCTGTCAAACAAGCTCTCTCATTTCGGGTGCCTCCAGGTAACACACTTGACTTTCAACTGGAACAGAAAGGAAGATAAGCCTTTACACTGTCAGGTGCCAACCGTATGTGGGAGATGACAGCAATTAACATCTAAGAGGCACTTTAATTAGTCACAGCTGAGATGCATGCCTGGCCCAGTATTAATTTGGACATACCAGTTGGCACAGCAGTTCACAGCCCCAAATATAAAACGCAGATATTAATTTAACCCTTCTGGCTCTTTCTAACCGTGGTTTATTTTATATCCTCCTTTCAGTGGCTTATTACATCCCCTCCACCTTGAGGGATCACAATTTATTTGTCCTCCTTCTCCCAACAACCTCTGACAGATCACTGCTGGCCACAGCTGGAGACCTGCAGAGAGCTCAGGCTCATGCTCTGAGATAATCACCTCCACCAACATCATGCCATTCAGCAACCATGGGATCCTGATCTCTTGGGACACCCAGCACCTCAGCTAGGGCACAGAAATGCTTATTCTTTGGGCTTATGGAGCAAAAAGCAAGCACACAAGCTTCTCAAGCAAGGAAACAGATATCTGCTCAAAGCTCTTTCCTCTCTCACTTGGCCAGAACCCAAGCTCAGACAGACTCAGAGGCAGTGGCATCCTGCCATTCTGGTGTTTCGGGTTGCTGCCTGAGCACAGCCCACACTCCTTAGCAGAGATTTCTGTGGAAAGTGATCCAGCAGCATTAGCAAAAGCCTTTAGATACAGTAGTATTCCAACCTGGTAGAATTTAACAGGTTTTTTGGGGGGGGAAAAAAAAAAAAAGATTAGTTGAAATTCTAATTTGAGAGACGAGTGTCAAAAGGCTTCTCTTCCAAGTTTCTGAATGAAAGAGGAGGAGATGGGAGAGATGAAACACAAAACAGGGTTTACAGCTATAGCATTAGGGCAGGGATGGTGTTTCTTCATTGCAAGATACTCCTTGAGCCTTGCAGTTAAAGTAGAGGCACTTTCCCCAGGGTTCAAATGCCAGTGTATGCTCACTGCACATTAACACTGAAGCAAGTTAAAGTGAACCAATTTAGGTAAGCCCTGCAGGTAAAAGAACATTAGAGGAACCCTGAAAGCCTTCCAGGGAATATTCTCCTATCTCAGCAAATGTTACTTTGAAAGACAAGATACGTTCTGGCTCCTAGAAACATTAGGCTTTGCTTAAAACTGACATAATGGCTTCAAGATTCAAAAAAAGGATCAGGACATCCAGATACAGCTGTCTGGTACCCGGCACGCTGACTGGACAGATAACACTAAGGAAAAACACAGCATTGGCTCTCTCAATTTATACAGGTTGCTAATCACAATGATTTTTCTGGCAATCACTTAAATAGTCATTACAGATCAGTTATCCAAAAGAGTTAACACTATCAATATGAACATTTTATTCTATTACTGCTGGTATTACCCTTCTCCATTACCTCTGGGAGCGTTGTAATGACACACATCAAACTGAAAGAACTGTTGATTTTTAAAAATTAACAACAAAAAGCCCCACACCTTCCCACAAAGGCTTACAGAACAGCCAGGGATGCGCTCATATGTACTATCAGACTGTCAGCTTGGTTTGATTCCAGCTTCTTACCAACCTATGTTTGTCTTTTAACAATCCCCTGACCTAAAGAGGTTTACTTTGCTTGCTTGAATGCGCCGTCAGATTTTGGATAACTAGACCCAGCCTCCTTGAGAAAAACACAGGGAAGGGTGTGAGCACTAGAACAGGGAACACAAGACCCTGCTGGAGTAAAATATAATTTACCTTTTTGGCCTCTCATTCAGGCTTGTACTGCGAGCCCTGAAACTGTCCTTCTCGGGTGTGTCATCAAAGGAAAGGAGGACATTGGAGCGCAACCCCTGCCGATTGAGAGAGAGAGATGACAGTGTGAATGACTAACATGTGCAGAAAGACCACAATCGTGGGCCAACACACAAGAACTCACTGTCCGTTTTGAAAAACATCTTGGCAAGAAAAGTAGTATTTTTCTAGCTTCAAACAGAAGCTTTAAACTTCTCAAGGCAGTTTTTAAGTCATCATTTTTGTTATATACTGTTTGATTCAGTGGTGTCCATTACCTTTGTAATGTAGGGGACAAAGTCCTTTCGGAAGGGAAGGCGGCAGCGAATGAACCACATGGCTATCACGTGATGGGCCAGGCAAACGATGTACTGGTTAAACCTAAAACAGCAGAAAGATCTCCACAAAGTTTAATGCTGCATTATGATGCCAATTCCAGAACAGAAAGACTTTTCAATGTGAGAAACAGAACTGTTCCTTTACCTACTGTAAGTATTAAAGGAAAAAAAAAAAACCTCAAAAGTTCTGTTCAAGAAAAACAGATTTTGGACAAGGTGAATTATGTCCCTTCTTCAGATAAAGCCTGGAGATACCAGAATAAGCAATATACGACAAATAACTTTGACCCAAGTACTACAAAAGAAGCATGTCTCATTCTTTTAATTTTACAGATGAGGAAGAAGCACATTTGCCAAGAACTTACTTGGAAGGGTTTGTGTATGGCAGGGAGATGGCGAACACACTGGCGTACTGCTCTGCTGCAAAGTTCCTGTAGAGGTGAGGCAGCCTTGCTAGAGCTGGAACAGGTCAAGAAGAAAACCAACACAGGTGAGGTCTGAACACAAACTATTCAACATCACTATTAAGTTTAATTTGAATTGGTTTTGTTTCTTCTAAATCGTCAGCTGACGTGGAAGTCAACATCATGGTATTATTTCATGCTATTTAAGTTATAAGCAGCCAGGTGGAGAAAGCAGCTTGGTATTTCTCATCACTGTATGGCTGCACGACACAAAGCATGTCTCTTTCCTCAGCATGTGCAAGTGCTTTCAGTAGAAAAACAGTAACAAACAAGAGATGATCAAACATTTATGTCTTGAGGATGGTACAAAGGCATCACCAAAAACCAAGAAACCCTTACAGTGAGTTCCATATGACTAACACAATCAAAATACCCATATTCAGTGCAAACAATCCATTTACAACTGTAGAAGATCAAAAGTAAAAAAAAAACATTACAACTCACTTGAAAGAAATTCTAAGAGGGGGATTGCCATATTGGCTGTAGCAGAAATGTGGGTTAATTTGACTATTAAGACAGGAAGTGCCTTTATGATGATGTCGGGCATCTCGACACTGCAGACAGAGAGTGCCACAACGCACTGGTTTGCGCAGCGATAGATAAGACCGTGTTCCAGGCAATACACGATTTCACGCTAGAAGAGTAAAAAAGAGAAAAATAAGTCATAATACAGGGAAAGAGAAAACTTCTGATGTGCCATGTCCTGATTTCAGTTAGCGTTTCAGAACGGCTTGCAAGGTATCACTACTGCAAGGCCTGTATGATGCATATAAATTCTTATCCAAAAGGCACTAACACAGAATCCTAAATAACATTGCATGTATTCTAGGCCAAAATCTCAAGATGGGACTTTAATCAAGTAGAGATTTTAGAAATTAGTATTTAAGTTTCTGATCAAATGGAATTTTATCTTCTTCTTTACCTTCTTCCAGCAGAAGGTAAAGCCACTCAGGAACCTGCAAGCGGGGACAGGTATGGATGGAGAACACCAAACCCAAATGACCAGCCAGTTACTGCTGCACAAAGTTAGCAAAGTGGTTTTTTCACCCCTGACCCCACTCCAAATACTTCCGAATCAGCTTTTTATAACAGAAAAGGGCTGTGTTACCTTGCACTTAAGTCTCCTCATCAGCTATTATGAGAAAATGATCTACCATACAGGTTCAGGCCCCATCCCCCCATCCCCTCCTTCTTTCCCCTTACCTGTTTAGCTTTGTCCAGATAGTTATGATAAGATATTAATGCCGTCAGTACTGGGACTACAGCCAGATGCAAATCCGTGCGAGAAAAGCCTTCTGGGGTACCATGAAGCCTGTCCGTAGTCTTTTTGTCTGTGAGCTGATACATCACACAGTAGGTTAGAACACCTCACACTAAAAATACTCTCTAAAAAAGAGAGGCAATGCCCATAGCTCCCTTTTCACATTTATACATACATACACAGAGAAAAAACACTCATCATTATCTACTTCTGTACCTAAACCAATCCTCACAAAAAAGGGAAGGTGAATGAGGATTGACCATCAGTATGCTAATCTTCAAAACATTACACTGAAGAAAACAAACAAAAACCCTCAAAAAACGCCAAAAAAACTCAAAAAACTCCCCCAAACCCACCCAACTTTCAAGCAACCTAGGGTGATTATACATCAGTAGGGTGCATGACATTACCATGTAGCTCAGTGCAGAGGCCAGGAGGTCTATGTTGCAAGGAGAGGTTAAAAATAGCACTTTATAGCGGAGGGATTCAGGTAATTTGTTGAGGACCAATTTCAGCACCTTCCAGTCTGTCTCCTGGAAAGAAAGAAAAAGTTAAGGTGAAAAATTTTGCTACAATTTCAGTTCAGTTTGAAAGTCAGACCAAGGAAATTTCAGACAACTTGCCATTTCCTAGGCAGATGTATGTCTTGCCACAGTAGCTACATAAAAAGAAGTGGCATTCAGCTGTCACAAGTTACTTCCTGTCTGTCATCCAGCTCTAGGTACAATATTGGCACCACAAACGTGAAGACAACTTGTATCAAGATCTGATTGAGCTCAAAATGACAGCCAGAATTTAATTCTCTTAACCACCTGCACTAATTAACCTCCAGAGCAAGACAACCCCACAGCACATAACAATGTCCAATACACCAGTAATGAACCATTTATATTTACAGTGACTGAAACATTTATCATTTTTCAAAATACTTCAAAAACTTGCACTGAGAGAGTTTCGTTTAGTTTCAAATGCCCTTTCAGAAAGGACATTAGAGGATGACTTATCTGATCGTTGTTTGACAAACACATTTTTTTGCCCTTGTCTGCTCTGAAGCGGAGTGAAATGAAAGCTTTGCTTATTTGCTGAAGAGCTGAACTGGTGCTCCCACTGGTGGTTGTAAAGTTGCACAATTACACTCAGATTTTGCCCAAGAGCGAGGATTTACGTATTGTCATTTAGATATGTCATTTAGATACTGTGGGACTGAATTCTCCAGCCAGTTGGTTTAAGTTGATGTATTTCACAAGAAGATGACAACTGTCATTCAGAGTGGACGTACTTGCTTCAAACACTGCAGGAGGACACCAAAGACCATGGAGTATGGCAGATGTCCTATCCGAATGGTGGCGTTCTGGGAAGGCACACTGGGACTTCCTGAAGGCGGAGAGAGTGTACCAGCAGGCTTCTTCTCAGAAGTCCTCTTCTCTGCTTCTCTACAACATCAAAAGGGAGAAAAACATACGTAATGTAAAATCAAGACCAGAACAGCCTATTCATGTGACCTACAGTGCCACCTGAGCCAATTTACAACAATATAAATTGCATTTTCAATTAAAAACCACAGCATTGCCCAGTTGTCCTGGTTTGACAAAAAACTACAACACCAGCAGACGGACAGTAATGCATCCTTTTGGTCAGGTTAAGGATTTTTCTACCCAGGCCCCTAGCAAATTTAAAAAAATATCTTTTTGGGAGTGCGTAACACAAAGAACTACAGATGAAGCTATAAAATTAAAAATAGCCAGATTTGTCCAAATCATTGAATCAAACTTCAATGTGAAAACTTGAATTTATAGGCAGGAAATTGCTGATATTTCTGTGAATTTTTGTGAGCAGGAACAGAAATGTCATGCCTGAGACTGACAGCTCTGTAGGCAAGTGGTTTGTAAGAACAATTCACCAATGGCTTATTAGTCGAGACAATCCTAGGTCGTAACTACAGATTTGTCTAGCAGCTGATTCAGTAGGATTTGGAAGATTTAGAAAAACTACAGATTGCTACTGATGGACTATTAAGCTTGTGCAAAAATATGAAGTAGTTTGGAGAACAGCTTTTGCTTAATGCAACGAGAAACCTACACAAAATCACATAGACAGTAAGGGCTGAACCTCACTGCCCCATCCTTGTTGGAAAGGCCAAGACGGTGGAGGGAGTCAGCTCGAAGCATCAGCAGGAAATCAAACACCTGCAACAGAGAAAACACTGGAATCACTCAAAACCCAAACCAATGGGGTGCTCTCCCACTTCCTCATGTGATACCCTCACTGCCCCATCCTTGTTGGAAAGGCCAAGACGGTGGAGGGAGTCAGCTCGAAGCATCAGCAGGAAATCAAACACCTGCAACAGAGAAAACACTGGAATCACTCAAAACCCAAACCAATGGGGTGCTCTCCCACCTCCTCGTGATATTTTTACAAGTACAAAGGGATTTTTAATAGATGGCTAGCTCTGTAGGAGGCAGCACTTCTAGTGTTACAGCACATATACATACCCCTACTAGCCAAGAAACATTTAATTCCATTTCTGCCAAGCTCTAGAGCCCACATTCCCCACCTACCAGCCAAGAATTCCAAAGACAGCATGCAGCTCTCGACCCAAAAGCACTGCTCATACCTGCAATCTGATGCTGCTGGCAACAGCAAGGCTGTAGGTGTAGATGTAATGGCGTTGGATGTGGTGAATCAGCATCTCGTACACCCGCATGGCGTGGCTGGAGGGTAAGCTGTAGAGCTTGGTCTACAGAGGAACAGAAACACAAATGAAAAGGCAGGCTGACACCCGTTCTTTGGAAATGTGTATTGCCACTGAGAAGTCAAGAAAAACACAGCAAAAACTTGCTCTTGAAAGCAAGGTGAACAGATGGCTCTGGACAGAACCTCTGCGAAGACTCCAGAGCAACTCTGCTGGCCTCCAGGAGGGCACTGGTTGGAACAACCAGCTCTTCACAACTACTTAACGTATCTCAGGACACACTACCCAAACACAAGGTTATGAACCACTCCCTTTCTGCTAGTTTATGAACACATCTGCCCTCCACACATGAAAATGTGTTCATATTCATTGCACAACACTTCACAACTACTTAACATATCTCAGGACACACTACCCAAACACAAGGTTATGAACCACTCCCTTTCTGCTAGTTTATGAACACCATCTGCCCTCCACACATGAAAACGTGTTCATATTCATTGTACAACGGAAATTAAGAGATAAAACATTTAACAACCAATCATACAGTACCCAAAAGCAAAAGGTATGACCAAAACTATGAAAATATGAAGTGGATAAAACAAAAGTTGGAATATTTGAGAGAATGGTTATCTAAAAAGCCAAGCTCAGCAGAAGACTATTCTGAGGAAGACATGTTTAATGCTCTGTAGCATTTACCTGAAGAATTATCAGGAGACCAAGAACTGCTGTCTTGACATCCTCCAAAGAAGCTGAATACGATAGCAAGTCCCTCTCTTCCAGTTCAGAAGGCGATGAGAGAGAATGTGCAGCCACCTTTTAAAAAGAAAAACAATACATGGTTTAAATCTGCAACACACCTTTTCTTTAATTTCCATCCTTAGAGAGAATGTGCAGCCACCTTTTAAAAAGATAAACAATACATGGTTTAAATCTGCAACATACCTTTTCTTTATTTCCATCCTGGAAGGTCAGGAAAGACTATGGCAAGTCATCCTTGCTAGAAATTCTGCCAGCCCTGTCAGGTAGCTTGTGATGTGCACTGACAGGGTTTCCCTCCCACTCTGCACTTCAGACTTGCATGCTCCAAAACTGTTTTACACCATCCCATTGAGCCATGCGATTGGTAACAGTCACAGGTTAGTGTCTGCCATCACCATAAGAGGATCTGACAGAAGATGTGCTGATGCTACCGACAAATGACCAAGCTCTACCTCACCTTTTCTATGATATCCAGCAAACTGTTAAAGTGATGTGTGTTGCAACCTTCAGCCAGGTCTACGAGTAGCTGAGTGGCCAGTTTTCGGACTTGATGGTCTTTATCCTCTGGAATGTGAGCCAGCTGAGAGATCACAACCAAGTTTATCAGCTCTTCCTGCAAGAGGACAGACCTCAATAAGCCTTGACATTTTGCTGTCGGTTGTAAAAGATACAAATAATTACAAACAAAAGAACACTGATATTCTGCTTGCTCCTCAACTAGCTGTTTGGTTCCTTGATCTTCCATCTTCCATCCAATTAAGTATTTCTGTACGCCTTCCCTCCAAATATTTATGACTTTTGTTGAACTTGGATTCAATGCTTTGGTTTTCATCAATCCTACAGATTCGATAGACCAGGCTCAAACAGACTGTTGGCAAGGGACTTCTAGGGCTTGGTTTTTTGAGAGAGAGAGGAATCATGTTTTCACAAATCTTGAAAGAATCCAAGAAGCACCTCTGCCCCTTCCTACCCTCTGCCACTGGGTCTTCCACGGAGCTGAAGACATCCCCAGAGCTTGTCTGTAACCCCTCTCTCAGGCAGCTTCCACCTTGCATTGCAATTAGACTGGAAGCACCCAGACAAGTCTATCTGCTCACGTCACATTATGTCCAGACCTCATCTTTTTACAAAGCTTTTAAATAAATGCTGCATCTCTCACAATGACTTTCCTTTCTTCCAAAACAAAATACACATGGAATTAATGACCCTAAAACAGGGAAGCAAATATACAATCAGGTATGTCCTCAAAACACAACAGCTCCCACTGCAAGTTGCACATACCTGTATCCAACTAAGGACAATTAAAAGGCAAGTCCTTCTACAAGCATCCTAAAGAAACAGGTTTATTGTGTGCAACATCTAAAGCACAGTTCTGTGCACTCCCCAGTGGCAGAGACAACCTGAAGCACACCATAAAAAATGCCTCACCAAAGCTTTTCCCACCCACTTAAAATCTCACATTTGACATCAGAAACAGATAAACACAAACCTCATAGAACTGTCTGTTAATACTCAGGACAAAGGACAAGACATCCAGAACTTTAATGCGAACAGCACTACGACTTTCATTCCTAAAATGGGAAGAGCAAATTCAAGATGAATAAAATAAAGTTGCTGACACTCAGGGAAGGGGGGAGAGGAGAAAAGGAAAGTAAAACTAAAGGAAACTAAGACATTTCTTAAGAATTAGAACGATAACTGTTAGAGAGCCTTCAGTTAATGTCTCTATATATGAAATCAGATTCAAGAACAATTGGAAACTGAAATCCTGATTCAGCTTTTACTGCTCCTGGAGACCTGTGACTACAGTTTTCCCATTTGCAATCCAAACTAGGAAGCACATGTCAGAAGAACAAGTGCTCTGGCGAGCAAATTTAGAACCAAACATACGGCACCGAGGCAGAGTTGCTCTTTGGCAGCATTTCAGAGATGAGACAGAAGTTTGGAATTGCTGTACATTGGTATTTTAGAGGACAAGAATACTTTTAGGAGTATACCAACTCAAAACCAGGTAACTTTAATACTGGATAACCCTATGCAATCCTGATGCTTAACAGGAAAGTCTTGTTTGGTGTCAGAATTGCAAAGTGCTATGGAGCGGAACACATAACTGCCTAAGCTAATTGGAATAGCACCATCCAATGGAAATAAAGGAAAAAAAAAAAAAAAAGGCAGCATAAATAACACAGTGGAAAGTTTTTCTTCTGTTAAACAAAATCCTTTTACGTACTGTAAAAAAGCACCGTACTTCTTACCAGTCATTTACTAACACTAAAGGTTCAGAAAACAAAATCATCTAACATGAAAAGGTGGCAAGAAGCATTTAAAAGTATCACAAAGCCATGATTTCATACCTGAAGAATCTCTCCATTAACATCTGCAGGTTGTGAATCCAGCCATCTTTGGCAGGATGAATGGACTGAGCTCTGTACGTTATCAAGTTTAATACAGAAGATTCCTTTCATGGAAAGATCAAGAATTATTTTTTTTTAGTGTATAAGCAAATACAACATACTCACTCCCCCAACCTCCACCCCAAGAATAAGGCTCATCTAAGTCCCTTCTGTGATTTTCTGATTGCTTGCTATTTTAGGACTCCCAACTTCACTGAGTAACAAAACAGATTCAACTGGCAACAAAGGAAGACAATTATAATAAAATCTTACTGGTCTCTGATCAGCACATCTTTCCACCAGCTCAAAAAATCTCTCTTCAGAGCCATGGAATTCATTCTGGTCACAGAGTTCTTCTACTGTAGTCAAAAGATCATGCACAATGGTCTTAAGTTCTTGGCTCTCCAGACTCTGAAACAGAGAAAAAAACGTTCCTAAAAGACTTCTGTATTATCAGAATGTGCTAACCTTTAAATACAAACAGAAAACTCAGTTGAGAAGCACAGTATTGAGAATTGGGTTAAGCCTTCATTCAGCTTCAATGTTCGCTAGAGTGTAAAAACAGAGATTGATTTGCAAAAATAGTTATGGCAAGGTGTTTTGATTGAAAGCACATCAAGACAGGCTCAACACTTACCTGCAGCTGCTGCAGTAATCGCTCCATGATGTCCAAAAGGATATCCCACGTTACAGCTTGGAGCTCCTTCCCATACTTCTTTATTAGACGTGTAATGGACAGAACTATCTCGTAGGATACAACTGCATTGGGACACGTCATGGCCTGGAATACAAATCAGATACCCTCTTAAATTCAAATGAAACATGTCTTACTAATCAGGGACTTAGCCTGAAGGTCTGAGATAAATACATTCAAGTCTATACACACAAAAGGCAAAGCAAAGAACCATTTTATAAAGCACAGTTATGCACTCTTGCAAACAGCTGTAGATCAGATGTCAAATACAGTCCCATCTTGCAGAGCAGACACATGAGCTTAAAGCAAGCAATTCCTGCCTGATGCACTTAGATGAGGAAGTTTTAAGAGTGCTCTGAAGCTGCTCCTGAAGACACCATCCCTCACTTTTTATACTCACCACTAGAAAGAGTGAAAGTTTTTGTTTTGTTTTTATTTTTAAGCTAAAGTACCCACAACGTAGGTATTTGATAAAAAGAATTCAGACTTTGCTTTTCTGGCCAACAAAGATATTCCAGAAGGAGACCTCAGCTTCAAACTGAAATCCTCTGTTGATGTACTGTTTCCCTGTGCTCCACCCCACACTCAATTGCTGTCTCTCATTTTTCAGGCACAGATGTGACATAGGGGACCACATTTTTGTTCTAAATTCGTGCAGGTCCAGATGTATACCTGATTAAAAAGTTCCTCCAGCATCCCATCCTACCTTGAGGAATGAAGGCAACACTGAAGTTGGGGAATTCTTGAGCGAATTGAGTCGATGAGCACCCCACAGAGCCATCCCAACAAAGAACACAGCTCCTCTCAGCAGTGCTGCATCTGCCATGTAAGCTCTAAGAAAAGATGGAAGGAAAGTTTTAGACCATGCTACAATTATTACAGCATATAAAAGTGAATAGGAATATACACTGTCACAACAGCAATTCCCAGCTGTTATGCATCAGAGCTTTGCACAAACAATTTACAAACATTAAAAGCAGAAATGTGTAGTAGAACTTTAAAGAAAGGAAAATTAAATTCAGAAACACCAAAAAATGAGAACTTCAGCAGCATAACTAGGAAGGGAATTCACTTCTAAGCACCAGAACATTGAGGTTTTTCTACTGAGGCCAGTGACTCCCTATCTACCTCAACAGAACCTCTGCTGAATTCCTTGGGTTTTGTTAGATACACCTTCTTTACCTGTCTTCCATGATCCTGCACATGTTGTAGATGGCACTGTGTCCCAAATGAGTTCCCAAAAGGTTTCGCATAAGCTGCAAAGTCAGAGAGAAAACTTAAATATCCAGTTGTTAAAACACTCATTAGCCTGAATATGCTGTTAGCTGGCTGATCATGCCTGCTTACAGTAACTAAATGTGTCCAAGCCATTTCCATGCCACAACAGAAGCCTGTCACATCAGCTGAGAGGAAACTATGGGTGAATTCCATGGACATGACAGAACTTACACTAACAATGTGCTGATCCCTTAAAAATTGAAATTTAATTTACTTTTAAAACCAAACTGAAATTTATGGCAGATGTGCACAGGCCCATCTGACACTTCATCTCTGAGGCCAAAACAGCAAACTCATTAAAAAACAGAACTACAAGAAAAGTTCTGACCTTCCAGCACGGCTCACAGAGCTCCTTCACATTGATGGTACGGCACAAAGTGATGATAAATACTGGTAGGTTCACTGATGGCAGACAGTTATAGCAAACAACTGCATCTAGGACTTGCAAGGAAATCTTTGGGAAAAAGAAAGACAAAATGGTTATACGCTTCTCTAGGAAAAAAGCAGATCAAATCCTAAAGTGGCAGACCAAGAAATCTTCTGGAAGTCACATGTCTTTTTTTTTAATTTAATTTTTTAAATTATTGCACAATGGAAAGTAAACTATAAAAGGCACGGTTAAACTGATTTACTTATGAAATTTATCAATGCTCTGTTTTAGAATAAAAGTATTATCGGTGTATGAGATGCGATGGCTTACAAATACTTCATAACATTGTAGCAGCTCTCTTGTAAGATGAGACCAAACTGAGAGGAGAATTTGATGATCTGATTTTGTTTGTAAACACTACAGTTTCAAAGAATTTCACAGAACTCTAAAGTACTAAGAGAGACTCAAATTACTGACCTCTATGTCCACAGATGACGAAGTCTGAATGCACAAGAGGCATATTTTGCTGTTAGGAAAGAACATTTAATTACAATTATTTGCTTAACATGATTATAGGCAAATAACAAAGAGCCAAACCAGACAAGTAAATTGGCATGTTATTTTACTCATCATTCCCCTTATTGTGGCATTGCTGATAACACTCCCAGGGACACTGAACACTACAACCTCTTTTATAAAGTTAGCTTAAAGCTGCATTTAAATGAAACTCAGTATGTCTACACTAATTTCACTGAATTTCACTGAATTTCTAGAGTTGGAAGGGACCATAGAGATCATCTAGTCCAACTCCCCTGCTGAAGCAGGATTGCCTAGAGCTAGAGCATGTTACTCAGGACTGCATCCAGGCGGGTTTTGAAAATCTCCAAAGAAGGGGACTCCACAACCTCCCTGGGCAGCCTGTTCCAGGGTTCCGTCACCCTCACCGTGAAGAAGTTTCTCCTCATATTTGAGTGGAACCTCTTATGTTCCAACTTGTGCCCGTTGCCCCTCGTCCTCTCGGTGGGAACCACTGAAAAGAGTCTGGCTCCCTCCTCCTTCAACCCTCCCTTGAGATACTTGTAGGCGTTGATAAGGTCTCCCCTCAGCCTTCTCTTCTCCAGACTAAAGAGTCCCAGCTCTCTCAGTCTCTCCTCATAAGGGAGATGCTCCAATCCCTGAATCATCTTTGTAGCCCTACGCTGGACTCTTTCTAGTAGTTCCCTGTCCCTCTTGAACTGGGGAGCCCAGAACTGGACACAGTACTCCAGTTGTGGCCTCACCAGTGCAGAGTAGAGGGGGAGAATGACTTCCCTTGACCTGCTGGCTACACTCTTCCCTATACAACCCAAGATACCATTGGCCTTCCTGGCCGCAAGAGCACACTGTTTACTCATTGCCATTTTACTGTCCACCAGGACCCCTAGATCTTTCTCTTCAGTAGTTGCCTCTAGCGGGTCCACCCCTAACCTGTATTGGTGCCTGACATTCTTCTTCCCCAGGTGCAGGACCCTACACTTTTCCCTGTTGAACCTCATGAGGTTCTTCTTTGCCCAGCCCTCCAGCCTGTCCAAGTCTCGCTGGATGGCAGCACAGCCCTCCGGGGTGTCAGCCACTCCTCCCAGTTTGGTATCATCAGCAAACTTGCTGAGGATACACTCTGGGATACACATAAAGTTAGCTTAAAGCTGCATTTAAATGAAACTCAGTATGTCTTAAAGCTGCATTTAAATGAAACTCAGTATGCCTACACTAGATGAATATATTAAACAGCACGGGTCCAAGTTATACAATAACAGTTATTGATGGTACGGCACAAAGTGATGATAAATACTGGTAGGTTCACTGATGGCAGACAGTTATAGCAAACAACTGCATCTAGGACTTGCAAGGAAATCTTTGGGAAAAAGAAAGACAAAATGGTTATACGCTTCTCTAGGAAAAAAGCAGATCAAATCCTAAAGTGGCAGACCAAGAAATCTTCTGGAAGTCACATGTCTTTTTTTTTAATTTAATTTTTTAAATTATTGCACAATGGAAAGTAAACTATAAAAGGCACGGTTAAACTGATTTACTTATGAAATTTATCAATGCTCTGTTTTAGAATAAAAGTATTATCGGTGTATGAGATGCGATGGCTTACAAATACTTCATAACATTGTAGCAGCTCTCTTGTAAGATGAGACCAAACTGAGAGGAGAATTTGATGATCTGATTTTGTTTGTAAACACTACAGTTTCAAAGAATTTCACAGAACTCTAAAGTACTAAGAGAGACTCAAATTACTGACCTCTATGTCCACAGATGACGAAGTCTGAATGCACAAGAGGCATATTTTGCTGTTAGGAAAGAACATTTAATTACAATTATTTGCTTAACATGATTATAGGCAAATAACAAAGAGCCAAACCAGACAAGTAAATTGGCATGTTATTTTACTCATCATTCCCCTTATTGTGGCATTGCTGATAACACTCCCAGGGACACTGAACACTACAACCTCTTTTATAAAGTTAGCTTAAAGCTGCATTTAAATGAAACTCAGTATGCCTACACTAATACAATAACAGAGATCTTTGTGAGACTAAGCAATGCAATCAGGTCCACCACATGAAACAGGGAAAGCACATGCAGTTAAACTAAAACAGATCTGAACATTACAAGAACTGAAAGTTAAACATTTTTCAGAAACATGAGGTATGACCTGGAATGAAACAGATCCAGAACAGATGAAAAAGATTCCACTTATCTGTATACTGATCTGCAACTTTCTCCCGTAATTTACCAAGCATGTAGGAGCTAAAAAAAAGCCAACAACTTACTGGACCATGTCAGCTACATAGTCTTCCAGATAGCAGCTATTGAATTTCACGAGGTTCACTAAAACCAGAAGGAACTCAGAAGACAAACCAACATCCATCCACTGCAGTACAAAGTCAGCTAAAGAAGGAAAACAAATTGTTACAATAAGCTTTTGACCCCAAAGTATTATTGCCACCTTTTTCTTGTATTACTGCATGCCTATCCCTTGACTTATTCCCACCAAATTGAAGAGGGGTAGAGACAATCCTCACCTAACTCTTCTTCTAAGTAGGTGATGTATCGTCCATTCTCTGTTAGAGCCTTGAACACTTCAAGCCGTTCATGCAAGTCTTCATTGGAGGGATAGTCCTTAATAACCTTAAAGAAATGTGCTCTGAGGATCCCTAATCTCTCACCCTTAAAAAAGAAAAAAAGAGGGTTGGGGAAAGGAATAACAGCATCACTAATGAACAAAGACAGTTAAGGCCTGGACCTTATCATGGTCTCCAACAGTATCTTTATACTTTAAATTATGTTATTTTTCTACAGTCTATGAAAGCCTCCCGAGAATACCTCCAACCTCTACTGGTTACTGACAATGGCTCAGTTCTTCTCAGTCTGTTATATCAGCACTCAGGGCTGGAGGCATTTTGCCCAGCAACACACAGACAGCACCCAACACACAAAGAAATGGATGGAAACTGCAACCGACAGCACCGCCAGTACAGCATTTAAAAAAAAAAAACACCCAATAAACCAGAATCGATGCCTGTTCTTTTCATAAGCATCTACCCCTACTTCATCAGAATACTGAAAACTAGCACTTTGTCTGATACAGTCTTACGTTTATACAGCACACTGTGACATCTGAAGAATTCACAGTATGCTTAGAAAAGCATCTCATACAGAACTTCTTGCATACTTGACTTGCTGAAACATCAAAACCAGCTGCAGACTAGGACTAATAGATCTGGGCAAAGACCACATAAAATTTGCTACACTATGCTGAACTTAACCCAAAGTATTTCCTCTTTTTCAAGAACGTTGCCCTAAACCAGAAAAGTTTTCTATAAGTTGTATGAAAAGTTTTGCTATGAAGTCAAACTGAGACTTAATTTTAAGTGCTTCCTCTTCCCATTTACTAGGCACAACCAAAATAAGAAACACTCATTCTCTGCACAACCCCTAGTTTAAGTGCAGTGTTTCTTCTGCAGTTTGTTTGTTTTCACCTGTCCTTGAACAATTGACTTCAGCAGATGAAGAACAGCATGTCTGGCTTCGGCGGGGCGCTCTGGCTGGAGCATATCAGCTACCACTTTCCATATTGCTTCCACTGCGTGCTGAAAACAAATGGAGGAGACAGGCAATAGTAGGAAAGTTAAACTTCTTCTGGGATCTTTACCCAATAGGTCAGTCATTAATTATGGCAAGCTAATGAACAAAATCTCCACGGATTTCATGTCCAGAGTTCTCTTTTCTGAGGGACGCTCTCACCTGCCCGGTCACAAGCTCAGATGAACCACATTGAGAGCCACCAAATCCCATCTTACGTGACAACTTGCACCCCAGTAACTGAAGTTCCTTATTCATACACTTCAGTGTGAGCATTTGTGCAGAAACCCTCACCCAAATACCAGATGAGTTTAAAAACAGTTTGAGGTTGCTTATTAACAAGACAGAAGGAGCTAGCAAACATCTCTGCTACAGGATTAACATGATCTCCTGGGAACTGTCCTGAACTGGCCTGAGTATTTGCAGCATTCTCCTTCCATTCAACTCAGGAAGCCCATAGCTATGTCCTCTCTGCTCCACAGGTGGTAGCTTGGACAAGACTAATTTCCTTGGCATTTGAGCCATCCTTTCACAGGTTTGGACAGCAGAAAACAGCTTCTGGGATTAGCAATTTTAAAAGGCAATCTAAACTCCAGGAGCCTCTTAGAATAGGTTAAGAGCTGTTTTGCTTCAATGTTCATCCTTCAAATATTCACTGAACACTTTGAAACTTACCTCTTCAATTTTTTTAGTTTTTGCCACTTCACAAATTTGACTGATTGCTCGTATCCTATTACTTAATCCACATTCAATGCTCAATTCCTGGAAAGAAATGCAGAAATAAGTTAACAGTTTATCTTACTAGAAACACTTACCCATTTCTCAAAGGGGATCATGAACCACTGAAAAATGAATTACACATTTGTCCAAAATGATCTAACCATTAGTCATCACTAGAGCGTTTCAGGAATTTCTCCAAAATCTTTTTTCCATTAGCAAATGATTTGTCAAAACTCGAACTTTCACAGAACTGGAGCCAGGCAGCTTTTCACCTCCAGGTCAGAACATCTCATTTTCTTCAGAAAAGGTAATAACTCGCTGGCTGTGGCGCTCACCCAGCTCATGGGAGAAAGGCAGAGAAAGGAGGGATGGTAAGTCTGGCTCTCCAGCCTTTCAGCAGGTAAGAGCTTGGCTTCTTGGCTTCCCTTCCAGCACAGAAGGGAAGGGATTCTGGACTCCTTCTCCCTTTTATGTATTTTCCTCCTCATGTGCCAACTATTCTGCTTACAGACATGCTGTACCAATTACTGGAATCACTATTTTCTAAAAAACTTGCACAAAACTGTAAGGTTTTCACAAAATAGAAACAGTTTCCAGCTTGTGCTAGTGGCCACCACATAAACTTCATCGAGCTCAGTACAAAAAGAGAGCAACATATATTGAGGAGACACCCTGTAACCTGACGTAAGTCAACACCATCCTATCAAATATCTCAAAAGTATTCAAACACTAAATAACTATTATGCTGTAACTTCAAAGTAGGTGAGTTTTATACCCATTTCAATAGAGAATGAACTGAGAGATAAGGTAAAAAAGCATGATCAGAGCGGGGATGAATGTCAAAACAGAAAAGAGAAGGAAAAAGCCCTCCATCCAATCCTCTCAGCTCGGGTAATCCAGGCACTATCCCCACCTTTACTACAATCGATTCTCATACCTTGAGTATTTCTGCAGTGATGATAAACTCTGTTTGTTTGCCTTCCGATGACTTTGAACTTCCCCGGGATGTTCCCAGCCCCAGGAGATTCCTGAACTTCTCCTTCAGTCCAGAATCCTTGCTCTGAGGCTTTGCCATGCTGACAAGCAAGCAGCGCTGAGCCCCTGCGAACACAGAACACCGTTTCTGTTAAGGGAGGCCCAAGGGGAATCTTTAAGCAGGAAAACACCAGTGACAGCCATCACAATGTGGCTTTCACAAACAGCTCTGGTGTCTCAGGCCATTTCAAACAAGGGAGAAGCCCAGCACTGAGGACAAAACAGCGAGGAGCCCACACACATGAGGAACTTGCGCTGCTCCTGCCTTCAGCACCCACATCCTGCAGCTAATCAAGGAATGGGGAGCTCAGGATTATCATTTTCTGGGATGAAATGCCCAGCACCACCACGGCCCACACAGATCAACCACCATTTCAAAACTGCTGAGATGATTTCTGAACTATAAACAAACACTTTTTGGTGGCTGTGAGCTGAAGCACTTGTTCTCAGTCAAAAGCAACGGACAAGCACACACCTCTGTGAAGTTACATGCTGAAAGTAACTAGACGTGAGGAAGGACTTACAAATCTGAGCTTTCGAACATCCAAATGCTGCCATGGAGAGGAGAAAGAGGGGGGAGCAAGAACAAGCACACCGATTATAGCAACAGCACATCGACGGCTACATCCTTCAGAAACTGTCTCCCCAGCCAGCCCCAGCCCGCTGCCCCTCAGGGACCCCCAGAACCCAGCTCAGAGCAGGACACCCGCTCCTGGTGCAGCCCCAGCACCCTGCCCTCAGCACTCCCTCCTGCACAGACCTGTCAGCCCCCCATTTACGACCCATGCCCCCCATGGACATGCCACAGCCTTCCCCACACCCCAGGCACAGGCCTCAGCGATCCCTTGTTGCTCCCTGGGGACTCGCCACAGACTCTGTCCCAGCATCCCAGGGGACAAGGTGCTGACCCCAGCCCAGGAGACCCCCCATGGCCCCCAGCCCAACATCACCAGGGGACACTATGCAGCCCACCACCTGGGGGGGACACCACAGCCCCCAGCCCGCTGCCCAGGGGGGACACCGCAGACTCTGTCCCAGCATCCCAGGGGACAAGGTGCTGACCCCAGCCCAGGAGACACACCATGGCCCCCAGCCCAACATCACCAGGGGACACTATGCAGCCCACCACCTGGGGGGGACACCACAGCCCCCAGCCCACTGCCCAGGGGGGACACCACAGACTCCGTCCCAGCATCCCAGGGGACAAGCTGCTGGCCCCAGCCCAGGAGACACACCGTGGCCCCCAGCCCAACATCACCAGGGGACATCATGCAGCCCACCACCCCGGGGGGACACACCACAGCCCACTGCCCAGGGGGGACACCACAGACTCTGTCCCAGCATCCCTGGGAACAAGCTGCTGACCCCAGCCTAGGGGACACACCATAGCCTCTGGCCCAACATCACCAGGGGACATTATGCAGCCCACCACCCCGGGGGGACACACCACAGCCCCCAGACCACCACCCCGGGGGGACACACCACAGCCCCCAGACCACCGCCCCGGGGGGGACACAGCAGCCCAGGACATGGCACAGTGTCCCCTCGACA